AAGCAAACGTAAAAGAAAATTTTCTTTATATCCGATGAGCTCCTAATTGAAAATTATACTTTATTTTTTTTTACAGTGTTAACATGCATTTTTGCCTTGATCAAATTCATTTGACGGATATTTTAGATCAATGGAAATTAATTACTTGAGTGTTTTTGTAAAATAATTATGAAAGTAACGCCGATCATGCAACATATTGAACATGATACAAAGTTTTGGTGATAATCACGTCTATGCATGTTTAAGTAGAATTGGTCTGTGTCTAAAAAGTATTGAACTCGATACCTACGACCACATATTTTTACCTTGATTTAACTCAAACCTGAGTGCTTTGTTTCACAAGCAACACCGTACAACGTGAGCTACCGAGCAAACTGACCATGCCTGAAAGGTTGTCCATATGGTTATAGATAGGTAACGCAAACATATTTGCTCAGACACCGATAGTTTTAGAGTATTTATTTGACGTTGTGCAAACTACTGAATGAAAATAATCATTATACTTAAGTACTTAATATGTACCTGTAAATATTATTAGTGTGAAAAGGAACTAAAGTTTTTTGTTGTCGTCATATTTCCTCCTAGTGTTCATTTCATCTAGAAACTGCAGTGAAACTTTTAAGTACATTTTGTGTAGGCTGAAGCATTAGCCTGTGTTGACTATTCACCTTATTCTCCGCCGACGAGCGGGCGCTGCCATTTGAATCTTTTTGTCTCGCGACTTCAGGTCACATTCACTTCCATTCATTTTTTGACGTTAACAACTGCTCACTACGCAGCTTGATGTTGCAATTTGATATTTTCTTATTATATAATGCTACTTGGTCTGTGTAGTCATGCAAACATTTGTTTGTAGAGAAAGTAGTTTGACCGTTTTCTGCCGTTTATTATTCCTAGTCATTTCTCCCATAGGCGACTGAATCGGAAGTTCTAAGACAATCGCGGAAACAGGCGCACTTCCGCATTTTAGAATAAGGTCAATATTGTTGATCATAATTATTAAGTTCATAACTCTGGATGCCCTAACTATGGCCTTAAAAACGTATTCGTCTTTAAGAGGCGAATTTATTAAATATTAGCATGTGTGCAATCCCATAAAAGCACAGTTAAGAGTGTAACGGTCTGAGAGTGATCTACTGACAATGTAAATTAAATACACAGCAGCTTAATTCAAGGCAATCTATCCAGTGCAAATTAGGCCGAATATAAGCAGAGCTGATGATAATCAGGTAAATGTAATCTAATTACAACACACACATATAAAAAAGGAGTAAGAGATGCTTTTTGGGTGATTAAATAACAGTGCAAATTGCAGTGATTTAACTGCCACAAACCTTAAATTGAATGTGATTGAATGTGATTAAAATCTTCATTCATTTTTCCTTCAGCTCCCTTATTTATCAGGAGTCACCTCAGCGGAATGAACCACCAACTATTCTGGCATATGTTTCATGCAGTGGATGCCCTTCCAGCCACAACCCAGTACTGGGAAAGTGATTAAAAGCTTAAATATAGTAAATCACACGTAAATACTCTCATGTAAAATGCTTGTCGAGTTTACAAATCTAAATATACAGTTAAAGCCAGAATTATTAGCCCCCTGTTTATTTTTTCCCCAAATTCTGTTTAACAGAGAGAAGGATTTTTTTCAACACATTTCTAAACATGATAGTTTTAATAACTCATCTCTAATAACTGATTTATTTTATCTCTGTCATGATGACAGGAAATACAATTTTTATTACTAGATATAAATCAAAGGGGGCTAATAATTCTGACTTCAACTATATATATATATATATATATATATATTTATATATATATATATATATATATATATGTATATTTATTTATTTATTTATTTATTTATTTATACAACAGTTCTGTCTAGTTTGTCATTAATGTTGCATGTTTTTAGGAAATCCTGACTGTCGTTTCCTTACAGGCAAATAAGGGTTGGGGCTAGTGAATAATTTAGCAGTGAATTCCCTGAATGACCATTTTGTGCTGTGTTGCAAATGTAGGGATTTTGTCACCAAATTTAGCAACTTCACATTTATTCATATCTTGCATCAAGGAGACCTTTCAATATTATTTACACTCACAGGCCACTTTATTAGGTATACCTTACTAGTATCAGGTTGGACCCACTTTTGCTTTCAGAACTGCCTTAATCCTTGGTTTCATAGATTCAACAAGTAAATGAATATATTCCTCAGAGATTTTGCTCACTATTGACACGATAGCATCACGCAGTTGCTGCAGATTTGTTGGCTGCACATCTATGATGTGAATCTTCTGATCCACCACATCCCAAAGGTGCTCTATTAGATTGAGTTCTGGTAACTGTGGAGGCCATTTGAGTACAGTGAACTCGTTGTCATGTTCAAAAAAACCAGTCTGAAATGATGCTCGGTTTGAACTGCAGCAGATCGTCTTGACTATCACTACATGCCTCAATGCATTGAGTTGCTGCCATGTGATTGGCTGATTAGAAATTTGCGCAACGAGCTGTTGGACAGATGTACCTAATAAAGTGGCCGGTGAGTGGATGTTTTGTTGATGAGACAAATATCATAGGCAAACATTGTCAATACTTATGCTAACTTTATTATAAGCTAATATAGATGAATATAGACTATATGCTTTCTTTAACCACTGATGATGTCTAGTTTATAAACCTCTAGTAAGAATAAAATATAATTCTGTTGTAATGCAGCTTCAGCTTTCCTGCAACTGCAAATTAGCATTCTGCAGAGGAAAGTGTTGTGAATGTGAATTACAGCAGTGCATAAAGCTAAGCATCATATCATGAACACCATTATAAATGCATGAATCAAACTCATCTAGAACGCCGCCAATTCCTCACATATTTTCCATGCTTTGTGTATTTTCCCTCTCTGTGTGAGACGGATCATGACAGAGCGGTGAAATCCTGCCTACACTCGAGTACAGCATCTCATAGGAGAGAAAAAACACACTCGAGCTGATCTGGAGCTCACATTCGTAGCTGGAGCAATGCTTCTCAGATCAAATGCATAGTTAATATGGCTCAACTTTGTTTGTATGGCCAGTGATCAGTGATGGTCAGATGGATATAGTTGAAGTCAAAAGGCACTGGAGATAAATCCAAAGAGTCTTGATGAACTCTGGGAGTCCTGCAAGAACGCTTTCTTTGCCATTCCAGATGACTTTATTAATAAGTGATTTGAGTCATGTGAGAGATGTATGGATGCAGTCCTCCAAGCTCATGGGAGACTTTATATTCTGTACTGGACATTATTTCTGTTCAGTGACAAGACTTTTGTCTAAGCAAAGTCAGACCTTACTGTTCTAATGAAATCATAAAAAATCAAGGCATGATCATATTTTGTTTTGGTAAAATAAGTGTAATCTAGAGGTCTTTGCCTTTCATTTAAGCCACTTCTGATACCAAATAATCAACTAGAAGTCAAATTATTATTTTTTGTTCCCAAAACTTGGATAGGCAACAAGACTTTTGTTAGGTATTGTAGTTGGAAAAGGTGACTTTAATACTTTTATTGACATTTGTAATAATTTGAAGTAACCTATTGTCTGGGTTGGTGTTGTAAAATATACATACATATATATATATATATATATATATATATATATATATATATATATATATATATAGTGCGTATATTCTGAACAATATCTTAAGCATAAACGTCAGACATCCCTTAGACTGATTAGAGCTGACTCCAAAAGTCATATATAAAGATCATATATAAAGTCATATATAAAGTCATATATAAAGATATAAATATATATATATATTGAAAGATTCGGATTTCTGCTTTTTATTAAAAATAATTATTTGATCATTTGAATGAGTATTTAACTTTGAATTGATTTTGATTAATGAATAAGTTAACACATTGCTTAATATAAGAATGTTCAGTGCATTTGCCTGTCTCTTTATAACTATTTTCAGAAGCCATCAAACTAGGTCAGAGGTCACGGAGACCTTGAGTGGAACTGATGGCTGAGGACTGGAATCAACTGTTTGTATTATTATTTCTAGTAGTTATTACTATCTAAAATGTCTAAAGTGATTTTGCTATTTTTACGGTTAATTCTTTTAAAGTGATTCTACTTTTATTCAAGATAGACTTTGTATAGTAAGAATATAACTGCCTGAATGTAGATTATACCAGTTTTTAACCAGTCTCGATAAAGACGGCTGACAGTACACTCCGCCTTGGATAAGAAACAGATTATACTTTAAGTCTGTGTGTTCTATTTGATTGTTGTTTCACAGGTCTGGAGTCAGCTCTAATCAGTCTAAGGGATGTCTGACGTTTATGCTTAAGATATTGTTCAGAATATACGCACAAACCCCACGTGGAAATGTTTCTAGTCTATCTGTGTTTTAACCAATCAGGTTAGGACACCTATATGTATGACGCAGTTAATGACGTTATGTAAGAGTATAATTGTTATTGATTGGTGATTGTAAGAATAGCGGCCTAGGAACTCATTGTAAGTGTTGAAGCTGGCTTCTGCTGATTTAACTGCAAACTATCTTCAGTAAACTTGATTTATTTATTTTTTTAAACCATCTGACTCCGGCTCTTCTTCATCTACCAGACTGGTCATTCTTTTGGTCAATCTGTAAACTATCCCTACAATATATATATATATATATATATATATATATATATATATATACACACAGTTAAAATCAGAATTATTCGCCTTCCTTTGAGTATTATTATTTTTTAATATTTCCCAAACAATGTTTAACAGAGCAAGGAAATGTTCACAGTATGTCTGATAATGTTTTCTTCAGGAGAAAATCTTATGTGTTGTATTTCGGCTAGAATAAAAGCAGTTTTAAATTTTTTAAACACCATTTTATATATATTTTAAATAAAAAAAATTAATTAAAGTTATAAAGAAACTTAAAATTAAAAATTAAATTAAAGAAACTGTATGTTTTATGGTGTAATCTACACTGTAATTGTGTATAGTACCTGTTGGTTTTAGTGATGGGTGTTGGCAGAACACAAGTGAGTCTCCATCCGAATGAAGCCAGTGACTGCAGCAGTGGAATATAGTCTGTCTTCACCTCCAAACCCTGAAAAAAAGAAAAATATTCAGTGTAAAATTTGCTACAAAATGTAGAGAAAATAAAATAGCTGACTTAAACCTGATCTGAGCCTTTGAGGCCTTAATGAAGAATAGTCTATATGGTGTCTGTTACTCATTTGTCCATTGTTTGCTGTTTCACAGGAGCATGCTGTGAGTAATTTGCATGTTTATGAGTTTGAAAATGTTGACCCAACTTCCATTTTTAAATCTAAATCATTATCGGTCTCGGACAGTTCTTGGTAAATGATGCTGATGAGTAATAGCTGTTTAATTTCAATGATAAATGCTGTAGCTGTAGAGACAGGCAGCGCTCTGTCATATACTGGGGATGTGGGCTTAGTTACCATAGTTACCCATTCATTTACTGTGGTTGAAAATGAAAAGGTGTCATTTTTAATAAGTGTTTTTGGGTCAAAGATGATTTTTTAAAAGCTTTATAACAATAAAAGTGTAATGTGCATTCATTTAAAAAGATTCATAGGACGAAAGAAAAACAATCATGAAAATACCATATACTTTTTCACCCACATTTACTGTCTGGTTTCTTTACCAACATCAGTCCTACTCAAAACTTCCAAAAACACATTTATTTTGGGAATTTTAACACAATATTTTAATTGTAATTGTAATTTAATTTTGAAGCCTTTCTAACAAAAGGTTAGTTTATTCATAAATGCATTTATTTTATAAGTTCTGAGATTAAATACTGCAATTTGAATGACGTCTAATGGGGGAATTTTTGTCCTTAAAATTTACTTATAGCAAAAAAATATATTTGTTTTAATAGAATATATTAAAATGGCAGCAAAAACACACTATTATGGCAAAATACATTTGCATTGCCACAGTTGTAATGATAAATTGTAAATAAATAAAGTGGTTTAAAATGTCTCAGTATGCATGAGGGTAATTTTTTCTGAGCAATAAAAGATATTATAATACATTTGTATGATGATTTACTGAAGACACACACTAAAAGAGTAACAGTTCCTACAACAAACAATAAAAAAAACATATTAGTTATACTGAAAATAATAATCCTTGATCAAAGATTAAAATACATTATTTAAGGGTCCCAGTTTGGCCCATAATTCTAATTAATTTATATTTTTCATCTTTATATTTGATTTTGATTTGATTTGATTTATTTATTTCTCATTAGTGATGACCTCTCCCTCATTAGCATAAACAGCCCTGAGTGAGAAGCAGCCGTGTGCCATTAGATTATAAGTTGATGCTGTAGCTTCCATAGACTTCCTTCTTCTGAGACACTTCTTTTTGCAGTTTCAGTTCTTCACACAGATGACATTAGTCATTTTTTGAATTTGCCACTATGCTGACACACAGGCACAATCTCATTTGAATTTAAAGCGACAGTCACCAAAACATCACAGTTAGGATCAAAAATTAAAAGGGTCAGTTTCAGAGAGTTATAAATCATTATTTGTGAGGTTTTTTGGCCTGAAAACCTCACATACACACTCTAGGAACATCAGTGACTTATTTAACATCTTGTAAATAGGTTTTTACATCTCGCACACAAGGTTTTTTTCTTTAAAGTGACAAAGATGAAGGTTTAATCTCTGCTCTGCTAATGACACAGATGTTGAAGTTAAATATGCATTGTGCAGCGAGATCACCAACGCATGCATGTGTAATTCAGAGAGCGGCGCTCATCAGAATCAGCTTGTTGTTGAGCAGTTGGAGGTTGTGCTGTGGTTTCAGTGCGATCGCTTAGTCGCATTTCAGTGCACAGGAACTCAGTGTGGTTTAACGGCACCTTCCTCAAAAAGGAAACCATGTCGCGTGTCAGCCATGCGGTCATACTCATAATGATAACACGAGAGAGCTCAACCATGAAGCTTTACATGCAGCAATATTCCAGTGGTTTTGACACAGCCTTGCATTCACCCTACAGTTATATCTGAGTCACTCTGGAATGCTCAGACTGAGTAAATGATGACTAGTGAGGGGACTTCATCAGATGGAGATAAGTCCAGAGCCTGTGTTCTAAAACCGTATGTGTTCACATCCTGTTTGCGGCCTTCATAAGTCGCTACCTTCAGTTGACCTAATAAGAGCAACTGAACTTTATACAAGATACATAAACACACGTAGCACACGTAATTCAAACTAGGTTGAAGCATTTATTGTTATTCATAGTTATTGTATTAATACTTTCAAGAATGGACTAAATATAGTATAACAGTTCTGTCCAGTTCTCGAATGTGATTGGCTGATAGCCGTGCATTATTTTGCCAGTAACACCACACAAAGGCCTCTTCACCCTTCATTGTGTATTACTCCGCCCACATACAGCCAGCAACAAGCAGAGAGACGCTACAGTTTGACAAATATTACTGTTGTTAGGCAACAAAATGTACTTTTAACGCTTTTTTAACTGAGAATGTAGTTGTTTAGATTGCAACTATGCAGTTTATTTATAAGAATAGTGCCTTTTTTAAAATGTTTACAATTTCCTAGAGAGCTCGTCGGTGGCCATTAGCCTCCTATAGAGTAGACCAAAGAAGGTTGACATTTTCTGTCCACAAGATGGCGACACAAACGCATAATAAGCCCTTACGCTTAGAAGATTATAACAGTCTGATTTTTAACTATAGCTGGTCAAATCATTATTAAACTGATAAGCACACCTGCCAAGACTCCCGTTTTTCCTGGGAGCAAGCCCGGATTGGCTAATCGGGAGGACCGGGAGAATTTCCGGTGGGCCGGTCCATTTTTTTGGCCAACGAGGGCTGGTGTCCCTAGCTCCAGAATCTGTTGCTCTCAGCAAGCACACTTTTTAAATTAATGTATTTATTTACTTGACCACAGACTTCTTATTCAATATTTAACCGCAGCTCTACTCCTTTTATCTATTTTCTCGCAGCCTCGTGAACAAGATGCAGCCTGCAAATTTATTATCATATAACTGTTGTGGTTGAGTGGTTAGCACGTTAAGTTACGATGCCACCGACCTGGGTTTGATCCTCGTCTGAGTAAATTTTTTTTTTTTTCATTTTTATTGTTAAGACATATAATACTGTTAGGGTTGTTGAACATTTGAAGTTCTAAAGCAGCTGTTTTCTCAAAAAAAGACGTGATAGTGTCATTAGAAACTGAATTGGAAATGACCTTATTTCAATATAGTCAGTCGTGAACTGAGGTGGGCCGGTCTGAGGCTTGAAACTCCAGGGCTGAAAAGGAGTCCCACTCCGGCCCTGCCTGGGAGTATCACGTATTTGAGACCAATCTTCCGCAACCATCCTGTTTTTATTTCTACCGGAAAACTCCTGTAATCCCCAGCCCCCCTTTTTTGGTACAGTCTTTAAACGGTTGCCCCAAAACCCATTGCATCCTATCCCGGTACTAAACAGTGTTATTCAGAGACGTCACCCCCGAACACCCCCTCCCCCTGGATTTTCTGAGACATGTTGGCAGGTATGCTGGTAAGTGATATTCTAAGTGGATCTCTCACTTTTGTATGTTGTAGTGTTGTATTTATACAGATTTGCTCGCATATTAGGAATGTGTGTTGTGTAGGCAGAAAGAAAAAAGAAGCAAAGTCAGCACTTGTTCAGCATTTTTCCTTATCGCAAACACAACAGCAGTCTGGTAGTTATTGTGTTGCTTTTTTCAGGGTTAAGTATTGTGATATCACAATTGCAACAGAAATACTGTAGACGGTAACCTTGTAAGAAGAAATCTCTGTAGACCGATGGCATTTCATGTCACGTTCAGCCTTAAAATCTTACAGTGTGCATAATCAGCCGCTTTGTCATCGATTTAGATATTACGCTATCGAGTCATTCAAACGCTAGCTCTAAAGTGACGTTGGTGAATTAGCAATGGTTTCTGCTGTTTTGACGTCAGCTGCAGATGTGAATGAATGGCGGAAGAAAGTAGTTCCTAAAACAAAAGGGTTTTATACTCTTTGTGTTTAATTTCGTTTTTTATATACACGATTGTGCCATCGAACTGTTGTATAAACGCAAAATCACACTCGTAGCAGTGCAATATGCCTGTATATCAGCACTGCTGAGACGCTAAGGCATTTGGCCTGCAACCTCGAGCCAATGCACACCTCATACCAGTGCTGATATACAGTCATATCTCACTGCTCATGTGATAATGCTATATATATATATATATATGCTGTCAATTGATTTATAAAATGTAACTAATTAATCACACTTTTTTATGAAAATGAATCCTGATAATCACATTTAATAGACTGAAACTTGTAATTTTGGCTATTACAATATAAAATTAATGTAAACGCAAGACAAAAACTATTTAAATTCAAAAAATAATTGTTTGTTTGAATTTTTGTTTAACTTGTAACCGATTTCTTCATGTAAACAACATTCCCACAATAAACCATCAACATCCCGCTTGACAACAGAAATTGAACACAGACATGTTAATGCCATTTAAATTTTAAAACAATCAATGCCAATAAAGAAAAAATTGATTTCCAAGTTGGATTGTAAGTTGAGAACATTAATTATAAAGTAGAAACTATTTTGCTTAGTCCTCCTTTACATTTAGCCAGTTTTTTAAGACAGTCCAGTCTGTTGACATTATCGGGGGACAATGTGGACCTTTACTTTTGAATGATGTGAGCTGAGAGTGCAACGCAATCTCACGGCAATTCGTAACTTTTTGATTTAGTGGCTACGGACAATGACGTTTAGGCAGGTTTGTTGCTAAGAAACGCTCGCGCGCACGCACACAGACACACAGACCAGGGCCGTGCACAGGGGGAGGGGGGTGGTTTCACTTATAAAACTACATTTTCTTTGTGTAAGTTGTGTATGTTTAAATATTTTTGTCATTTATATATTTGACATTACAATGTTCAGATAGTAGAACTTTTTTATTAAATATTATTAGTATTTTTGTATTTGATATAAAATATTAACAAAACATTTAACCTTTAAACATGCATTATGAAAGTTACAATACTAAATAATAAATGTAAGA